CGCTCGTATACGGTGCATGAAAAAGAGGGAAGCAGGGGAAGAAACCGATTTATATAAATGATGTGCCGAGCGGCAGCGGCAGAGAGGCCGGGCGAGCGAAGGTCCGTTCGATATCAATTGATCACAGGAGGCCCAGACATCCGTCTTAATTCTGACTAATTAGGGGGGTGGCTAACAAGGAAGGGGTAAGAGACGTAAGTTTGCTGATGCTGTGTGTCTGCGAGACCTCCCCGATTACTGAATCAAGCCCCTGGGTTTACAAAGCGCAGAACAAGCGTCAGAGGAATGAGAAAATCAGTTTAGGAAACAACAGCCATCACCACATTAGTGTTTCTGCCAAAATAATTCCCCCGTCTGTTCAGTGTGGTAGCTGACAGGCGGGATGGGAATAAATACCTCTCCCTCTCTCCTTCTTTCTCTCTCTCTCTCTCTCTCTCACCCCCTATTTTCTTTCAAAGTCTCTTTTTTCCTATCTTGTTTATGTAGGAAGTGTTGATTATCATCAGCCGGTGCACGTCCGGCATTCCATAACTAAGTTACAGCAGAGAAAGAAACGGATGCTACCATCAAACGCAGACAATTAATGAGATGTACAAATATATATATATATATATATATATATATATGTGTCTAGAGCAAAGGTCAACGAGACAAGAGTGCGAGCCCTCGAGGCGACGCACATGTTGATATCAGTAACAATCTGAGGAGGAGAAAGTCACAGCATTTGAAAGTAGAGAGCAGCACGCTGGGTCAAGTTCTCTATCTGCAAACCCCCGAGGACGCTGGCAGTGCGAAGTGAAAGGTGACAAGGAGTCATCGCTGTGAACAAAGGCTCGCAGTGGCTGCGGTGCCACCGAAAAGCAGATCACAATCACAATCTCGCCACCGAAGTACTTTTTCAATAGGTGTTAAAAGCGCCGGCGGCCGTGCGGACAAAAACGTCCAAATACCAGGTGGCAGTTGTGACGGACAGCTGACATATCTGTATCAGACAAGAGCCAATTGTCGAGGAGAGGAGGAAAAAACCTCCGAGGCGAGGTTGACCTTTGACCTATGTCCAGCAGATATAATTGATTATCAGTACTTTACTTTCTACTCACAGGAAGCTCCTGTGCTTTTCACCAACGGCCGTATGTTCAGTGGCTGCCTACTGTGAAATTCCCATCAACACTCTATGATCCTTTAGTTCCAAACTGTCCCTTTGTTTTTTCACTAAATATACACATGGGAACAGCCCTTACTGACAAACATCTTTAGCCGTCAACAGTTGTCCATCCATCTATCTAACTATCCATCTATCCATCTATCTATCCATCTATCTAGCTATCTATCTGTCTATCTATCTATCATCCATCTATCCATCTATCCATCCATCCATCTATCTATCTACCCATCCATCTATCTATCCATCTATCTAGCTATCTATCTGTCTATCTATCTATCTATCCATCCATCCATCTATCTATCTATCCATCCATTTATCTATCTATCCATCCATCCATCTATCTATCTATCCATCTATCTGTCTATCTATCCATCTATCTATCTATATATCCATCTATCTATCCATCCATCCATCTATCCATCCATCCATCCATCCATCCATCTATCTATCTACCCATCCATCTATCTATCCATCTATCTAGCTATCTATCTGTCTATCTATCTATCCATCCATCTATCCATCTGTCTATTCATCCATCTATCTATCTATCTATCTATCCATCCATCCATCTATCCATCCATCCATCCATCCATCTATCTATCTATCCATCTATCCATCCATCTATCTATCTGTCTATCTATCTATCATCCATCTATCCATCTATCCATCCATCCATCTATCTATCTACCCATCCATCTATCTATCCATCTATCTATCTATCTGTCTATCTATCCATCCATCTATCTATCTGTCTATCCATTTATCTATCTATCCATCCATCTATCTATCCATCTATCTATCTATATATCCATCTATCTATCCATCCATCCATCTATCCATCCATCCATCCATCCATCCATCCATCTATCTATCTACCCATCCATCTATCTATCCATCTATCCATCCATCTATCTATCTATCTATTCATCCATCTACCTATCTATCTATCTATCTATCTATCTGTCTATCTATCTATCCATCTATCTATATATCTATCTATCTATCTATCTATCTATCTGTCTATCCATCTATCTATCATATGTGGATATTTTTTAAATAATTTAAAATAATTGATGTACTGTACAGTTCTCGTGATGCACATGCATCTTCTACTTCGGGGTTCATTTCACACGTCATTATTCCTTTATAGATGAGCTGTGTGTATAAAGCAGACAGTACGGCTCTGCATACTACCCATGATCAAGCCATATGTTTCCTAATAAAGGGGCACTTGCCTTTTTATTACTTCCCGTCACTCTGCTTCTCAACACAATATATATATAAAATAAGACATATTCTATAAAAACAGCTCTGTGGGTGTGTGGCTTCTATTCAGCTTAGACGACTTCTACCATGCCTCTGTAAACAATGTAATACTCTGTGACACAGCTGACCTCGGGAAATTAAATAGACCTGGTTTGAATTAAACCCAAGATTAGCGTTAAAGCAGGCAGCTGTAGTTCAAAATCATGGTAATCTTACAAAAAGTATATGTAATTAAATGTAATAATATTCTAGTTTAAATGGACTAGAAATGTACTCCTGTTAAGTTGAACACGATGCTAATATACTGGCAGGAATTGAAGAAAGACACAAAGATCTTCAACAGCTCTGACAATCTTTTCTTAGTTTTAACAACCATCTGCTGCCACCTAGTGGAAGAAGATTTCAATGCTCTTTGACAAACAAAGAAAAATTAATTGCAATATATAAATATTAGTTGTGGCACATTGGATAATTTTCCGCGGGACACCTAATGATCTCCTGCGGCACACTAGTGTGCCATGGGTGGTTGGGTTGAAGTGGTTGGGAATCACTGTCCTAAAGCCACATACTGAAAAATAGAATGGTTTGCAGATTCAGCTTCTGTACTACGTCTTATTCCTGTTTGTCCCAATTGTTGCACCTCTAAAGTGATGAGAGGGTGACTGAACAGGTGATTTGGAGTTGCCTAGGTTGTTAAAATCCACATGTAAGAGCTGAAAAAAGTCAGTCAGGATGGATCGGATGGACCGGATCTCCCCATAAATTACACCTCATTGAATACAGACTGTCATTCCACTCACATCGTATTAACCAAACAGGGCTGACACAGCCCTCAATTCTGTACTCGTCAGCTCAAGTGTGATGTCCTAACAACTGTCTGGACGTCGATACCGCTCCATATCATCGTGCTCCCAGAGGGGGGCAATTACCCAGCGGAGATGGGATGTTTTACTTGATAAATGTTGTCACCGCTGCTATCAGTACTAATAAGCTGTAATCTGCTGCTTTACGTTCTGGTGACAAGCGCTCCAACGGGAAGAGTGCAGACAGATGGCTGCAACCTGCAAGGCTTTATATTAGCATGACACAAATGCGTTCATTTGCTCTGAAGGGCAGAATTTTACAAATATGTATCCTCTGGGGCAGCGGAGCAGCTCGGAAACGGGGTGTGCTGAAGACAAATGTGCCAGGAGTTCTATCTGCACTTTCAGTTTTTTTGAAATGAAATCAGCTTATAACACTAGTCTAGAATGCAGCTGCTAATCAAGATTAACCTGCAGAGACTGATGACAGGCTAACTTTTAAAATCAATTTTCTAGTTTTAAATAATAGGTGTGTTGGTACTATTTCATAGTAATGAAATAAAATCTAAAAACAAAAATGACATACCCTATTATAATGTTGACATATTACCTGATTATTATGTGATAGCATCTCATAATAATGACATGATCTCATTTTATTAAGATTTCTTATGATATGATAAGAATGACACATTTCCTTGTTTTTATTTGGATGGCATCTGAAAATAATGACATAGTATCTCAAAATAATGACCTCATTATTATGAGATTGTATTTAAGAATAATAACATGATATGTCATTTTAATGAGGAAATCTCGTAATTTTGAGATTCTATTTCATCATTTTCATCTCGTAATAATGAGAAGAGTATTTAGTATATAGTAATATTACATCTCATATAATCTCTTATAATAGTGTCAATATACACTGTATATATGTATATATATTTATATATATCTATATTATTATTATCGGTCTTATGTCATATTATTTTCATTGTTTCTCATAATAATGATAATAATATGATTTTTTTTTCATCTTAGTAGTAAATATTAGTCAATATATATTATATTATATTATGGGCTATTCTTTGAGATGTGTAATGACAGAATGAAAAATGAAAATCTAATGATGATTTTTTTTTTTTTGTAAGAACCGGTGTCAGTCTGACTGAGAGGTCGTCCTCTGTATGTCCACCTACACATAAAACAGACACTTTTGGGTGATGAGCTGTCACATGACATGATTTCATCGTCTCCACTCTCCGTGTCACGTTCTTGTGTCTGTTTTACTCTGAGGACCGCAGCTGACATCATGTGGTATTGATTAAAAGTTACAGGCACGGACAAAACACAAGTGGCGTGATTTTGTGACCTCTGTACAAATTGCTCTAGTGGAACATTTGCCCCCTTGTGGTCATTTATTAGAACAATTACACTATATTGTAGTGTGAGTGGTTACTTGTCGTTGTTATAGTATACGTCAATCAGATCAACTTAAAAAGAAACAATGATATTTTTTTCTACACATCAAAGAATGTCAATTAGTGTCACACGGTTGGACGGTTACAATTTCACCTTAAGATGTTTTTGATCATCATCAAACCTAAACCAAATTTGAAATTTCAAAGTAAAACTAGAAATAAATTACTAAGAAATTACTTTTTTAAATAGATGGTATACGTGTTAAATGTTGTATCTTTCAACTCTTTGTGCACATTTTGTTTCAAAAATCCCCTCCTGCCGGCTATGAAGATTGGCCGAGGGGACAGACTGATCATCACAAAGACATTTTGAGGACACAGGTGGTGTGAGACTGCAGTGCGCTGTGTGTGGGTGAGTGACGGCTACCGTAGAGCAGGGTTGACTTTGGCCCATCAGCAGATGAGACGCCGGCGCCATTTTGACTCTGAGCACAAGCCTCATCAGACACGAATCTCTTCCTCTTCATCTTTTCACTTTACCAAGTCTCTGACCTGTCAAAACGATAATGATTTATTTACATCGTTTTCAGGGCGACAGCGTGGCGTTACATGGCACGTGGTAACTCACTGTTATACAAGCTATACAAGCTCAGTATAGTCTAATGTAGCGGAGTAAGAGTACTGTTTCGTCTTCATGAATCTACTCTAGTAAAAGTAAAAAGTATAGTGATTTAAAACTACTCCTAGAAGTGTTTTATTTTGAAAAAGTTGTAAACGTAACGTAGTTAATATAACTCGTTACTACCCACCACTGAGTGTGATTAATAGATATTGAGGGCAGAGCTCTGTCTGCTCTCGGTGAAAACACAAGTCAGGCAGGATTTATTTAATGTTTTCATAGAAACCGTAAGATTACAGCCACATTTACAGTACTCATACCCCCACCCCCACGTCATCTCTCTTTAAATGTTCCCCAAATCCTCTCTTTAAGCCCAGTACCATGTCAGGTCATCAATTGAATTCCCGATCTGTAGCAACTTTGAAATATTGCCCAAGAAATGAGATCCGTGACCCTGAATACAGAGCGTGAAGCAGCTGGGAACAGGATGGAGACGTGGCCCGGTTCTGTGGCTAAGAAGAGGCCTGAATCACCTCCCTAAGTGGCATGGCTAAATATTTGCCCTCCTTCACATGGCTGTCTAGACACATCCACTCAGTCCATTTTCCCTCACTTGTCTTTTATGCACAGAAGTGCTGGCACGATCACTCAGCCAGGGCACCAAACCAATGACAAAAAGTTGTTGTCACCAACCTGGGATGACCGGACTTTCTATTTATTAGAAGTTTTAGTCCACCATTTGAGGCAGTAACAGCAGAATTTATCCTGAGGTAGTTTCTCCCTCCGCATAGGTCGGTCCAAACAAAGCAGTGAAGCGGCGTGCGCCGCTGTAAGCAACCCCGTCAAGATCGTGAAACACGTCCAACCAAACATCTTTCATTTCACCACTGGCTGCTGCTGCTTTATATCAGGACCTCAGATACAACATCCTTGGGAGGTGTCGGTGGGGGGGTGGGGCCATTGTCAATACACACAAATACTGCACGTTTTCTTAGTTATATTATATAATAATAATAATCAATTTAACGGCAGATGGTGATAGCAGTGACATGCCTGGTGACCGTTCCTTCAGTTGAGGATTTAGCACAGTGTTGTTCAACCTCGGGGGCACAACCTCTCTTGTGATCACCTGGAATTCAAACACGGTCGCAGGAAATGTCCATTGAGTGACAAAAAGAAATTCCAGATGTCAATTTTTTTCCACTATTTCCCACTTTTTAAAATCATGATTACAAACACTAAACGCATAAACATAAATCGAGTTAAAAAAAATGCAGCATATAAAAATATGTGAGCGGGAACATCTTGACTTGACTGAAAAAACAAATGTAGGAGAACTGTATTGCTGATATGGCCCCCGGTGAAAATGACTTTGACACCCCTGCTCTAGATAAAAATTAACTGAGGACACGTGTCAAATTGTTGTTATGGGGTTAAAAAAACACGTGTTCACAGTTGTTCATTCTGTTATTAAAAGTACTAATGTTCAATTGAGGCTTATGCTTCGTCACATCTTTAATTCCTGTCACTTCTGTTTCTACATTTACAGCTGATCAGATTCAGCTAATATGTGCTTAGAATAATAATAAAAAAGGTTATGTCAACCATTGATCAAAAGCTTACTATACTAATACTTTTCCGAAAGTCTTAAAAAAAAAAAAATCCCAAAAAATGAATAGAACCAATTTAGCCACAAATACTGTATGTAGCAATTTGCTTATTGAGGATTAAAACTCGTGGCGATCGCTACACATGTTGGTAAAGTTCCATTGATGGAATTTGGAAATATCACCCTAACCTGCTGAAACTTGATTCCAGTTCTATTCATTAGGTAAAATAAAACATGTTCCTTTTCACTTCATCACATGCCTTTTTCTTTTTGTTTATCACTTATCATTGCTTCAACAAACATCACCTTCAAAGCTATTCAAAGCTTTGTATTCCAACGCCTTGTTTTCCATGGCGTCCTTGACTTGACTTGAGTCTGTGTGTTCTGTTCCCATGTGATATTGGCACAACCACTATAATTACGTTTGCATAAATAAACGTACCCTTCTAATCCGTGTTGACATGTCCTGTTTGGCGTGAAGAAAGTCTTATTTAAACAGAACAACAACAACAACGACTAGTACTACTACTACTACTACTACTACTGCTACTGCTGCTACTACAAGTACTCATATCTAATCCATCCCTTGTTGACTGACAAGGTTATATGTATATATATATATATATATTTATATATATATATATACACACATATATATATACATACATACTGTATATTAATCATGGAAGTGTATATTATGTATTTACGTAATGTTACGTTACGTGATGCTAAGATTGTCTTTAGGCGTGACAAGAATGGACAGGATCAGGAATGAGGTCATAAGAGGGACAACACAGACAGGAAGGTTTGGAGAAAAAGCTAGAGAAGCCAGATTGAGATGGTTTGGACATGTGCAGAGGAGGGACAGTGGATACATTGGTAGAAGAATGTTAGAGATGGAGCTACCAGGTAGGAGAAAGAGAGCAAGGCCAAAGAGGAGATATATGGATGCAGTGAGGGAGGACATGCAGATAGTTGGAGTCAGAGTAGAAGATGCAGAGAACAGGGAGAGATGGAAATCAATGATTCGCTGTGGCAACCCCTGAAAAAAGGGACAAAGCTGAAAGGAAAAGATACATCTTATTTTCCATTATACAGTACAACTCTACTGTGTATATAACTCGTAAAAGGGTAAATATATACGTAAACAATATAATACCTATCTCGCTATAGGATCAAACTATATAGTTAGATCCTGATAAAGGAAGAATAAAGGACTTCCTGTCCTATCTTATTTAATCTTACACCCACTGACAAGGTGAGCCTCCCAGTAATGTATTCAAATACAAACTGATGTCTTCTTCATCTTTGCAAGAACAATTATTTTTAATGTGTGTACATAAGTCCGTCTACCATGTTGCCTTTTGGTGTGTGTGTGTGATTTTGGTAATGAACAGAGTAAACCAAACGCCTTTCATTGTTTGAAGTGTGTGAGCAAGCATCCATCCATCCATCCATCCATCCATCCATCTATCCCCCATATCATTATAGAATATTTGATGATAATTATCTTGTTCCTACAATTTAAGTGTCCTTGGTTATGTTTACCAAGTATTACATGAAAGTGACGCAAAGTCAGAGTGGCTACAAAGGCCCTCCCTAAGGATACAGCCAGAGAAGTTTGTCTACAAGAGTCGACTCATCCGTTTGAGAACGGTAAGGACTGATCCATTTCCTGAGACATCCAGTTAATACAGAGGTCTGATAGTTTTCATTCTGTTACCTTTTCTTTTGTCTGTTGTCCTTCGCACTGAATTTGTTTGAACTGATATTGTTCTGATTTTATAAGCCACAGTTAATACATCACACTCTGGACATGACATCGTACAGAGGAGTTCTACAGCCACTGTCCTATGGATTTTTCATATGCAGTTTGTTATTGATGCTGGGTGTCACCGTGTTGGACATGTCTAAAAATCAAAGAGGTACTGCACGTGTGTTTAAGTGTGTGTTGGATGGTATTGTATGGTATTGTACTTTAACAAGGAATGTTCACTGTTGTGAATTATTACTGAGGCAACTGCAAATGTGTATGCAGTTTTATAGATATAGAACAGATAGACAGACAGATAGACAGACGGACAAGATGGATTCATATACTGATTTTCAAAAGTCTGTAGAAATGACATTCCATAATAAAACTTCAGTATTGTTAATAATGATGTCACTCAGTCATAAACGATCTAACTGTCGCAGAAAAGACGATGGATTATGTTCAAGAGGACAGAAAGAAGCTGCTAAAACAAATGTGTCACGAAGAAGACCTTATGAAAAAACCCAAACTTCATCACCTTCTCGTCGATGACGCTCATGGAATCATCTACTGTTATGTTCCCAAGGTAAGTGTCCACGCAGTAGAAGAATCAAGGATTTATCTCCAAGGTTCATAATAGCAAGTTAATTTGCAGGAGGATGCACGGGAGCCCAGAAACAACCTCTAGGTGGCGCAGTCTGGTCATTTAAGACATGTGGAGACACTGAGCATTCCTTTGAATTATAATTCCAGGTGTATATCACTTAGGAGAGGAATTCAGTTGTGGGTTTTTGCATCACTGCGATGGAGTTTGCCGAGACAGTTAAACGTCTCCCCGGTGGCAGTGCCCCAGGGGTTGAGCAGATCTGTCGTTAGTTCCTGAAAGCTCTAAACGCTGGAGGGCTACCACCAGATACAGAGCCACTGTGGGGGTGTTCCATTAATTCAGGGGCTTGTCATTCTCCCTAATAAAGTTAGTGCCATGCCATTGGAATTCAGGCCAAGGGTTTGGTTTGGAGAGGCTTTTTATCCATACACGCTGATAGAGCAGCTGAGCCAATCACATTTCAAGGGCCCCCTTCTTAATATGCAAAATATTACACTGATCCAGTGTTTTATGGGGTCAAGAAAACTGAAGCCGGTTTGACCAGGAACTCTCTATTTTAAATAGTCTGCCTTTTAATTTGTCCTGATGAACCTGACTTGAGATTTCCGCTTGTTTTACCCACAGGTGGCGTGTACCAACTGGAAAAGATTCTTGGTAGTACTTAAAAGGGGTGAGCCATACGGTAACCCCCGTAATGTCACTGTCCATGTCCATGTCACCAGCCTCATCACATACCTAAAGAAGTACCCAAAGAATGAACTCGAGGTCAATCATCACAACGTCCTATTAGCGATTAACCGAGACAGAATAGTATGGGCAAAACATTTCCAAACCTTCTGTTTTGTTGACTACAGGCCAGGCTGAAGCACTACACCAAGTTCCTCTTTGTCAGAGACCCATTCATCCGACTCATCTCTGCCTACCGACACAAACTTGAGAGGCCCAACGGGTACTTCTACAAAGTGTATGGCCGAGACATCATGCGTCGACATGCAAACTATTCCAATCCACCTAGCACGGTGGAAGAGGCTTTCAAATTAGGCATGCATCCTTCGTTTAAAGATTTCATTAAATATCTTTTGGACCCAGAGACCCAAAGCAAAGCTCTCAACAATGAGCACTGGAGACAGATTCATAAGCTGTGCTCCCCTTGCCTTATAGAGTAAGAGCGAAATCTGAACATTGTCAGTTGACAGTCTGTTATAATAATGTAATAATTTTTCTTTTTTGTCGTCATGCTTTTCTATTGCTTCCTTCATCAGCTATGATTTCATTGGACATCAGGAGAACATGTCCGAGGACGCTGAACATCTGATGAGGATTTTGAGGCTGCAGAATGACATTACGTTCCCTCCTTCCTATGACAACGTGACAAACAATCAGTTTGTTGGAAACTGGTTCAAAGGGGTGCCTCCAGAGAACAGGAGAAAACTTTACCAGCTGTATGAGAAAGACTTCAAGCTTTTTGGATACAGGAAGCCAGACGATCTGATTGCGGGGTTGATATGAGGTTATGATGTTACATCCTTCTAAATCCTATTTGAAACTTATTACAGATACTATGTCCACAGTATACTTGCCTTGTCATGTTTCATATTTCAAAGCATTGGTATTAAAGTCCAAAACAACCTAGAAACTTCAAATCAACAAATATTAGCTACACAATAGTCCTCACTCACGTTGAACAACGTTTGCAGGAGCACTTATTTTAAACGACTGTGTACACGTCTGTTTACCATGTTGTCTTTGGTGTGTATGTGTGATTTGGTAATGAACAGAGTAAATGAAACGCCTTTTCACGCTGCAATAAAGGGTGTGAACAGTACTGATCTAATTCAATGCATCATCTACTTCTTATCATCTATCTATCTATATGGATGGATGGAAAGATGGATGGATGGATGGATGGATGGATAGATAGATACTGTAGGAAAAAAGCTAGATATAGAGCACAGACTATCTACAGAGCTAGCTAGCTAGCTTTCCCTGTTTCTGTCTGTGCCAAATGCAGTGGCAGTTACAATCCTTGATCAATCAAAAAAAAGAAAAAAAGAAAAGAAAAAAGAAAAAGACAGACATTTATAAAAATAAAAAATAAAGAACTTCTTAAAGCAACACAAACACAAATATTAGTATTTGGGGGTCCTTTTTATACTCTACACCATCTATAGGATGAATGAAGCGTGACAATGACTTAACATTAAAAAACTACAAGAAAAGGCAGTTTAAGTTTAATGCTATATTTTGAGCTCAGTTATTTGAGGAGGTATAGTGCCATGATAAATGTTTTAGTTATATTTGTATTTGTATATTATTTGAGATAGATTGTGTGTGTGTGAGAGAGAGAGAGAGAGTGAGAGAGAGAGAAAGAGACTGTGGGGATTTTTTGAGGCTGGTGCCAAGGACATCTGTGTGTGTGAATTGACAAGTGCCTTAACAGACACACAGGGTTGCATGCGAATGGCCAACTACCTCGCGGCCCTCGTCATTTTGCATCAATCCACATGCCCTCAATATAAATAGAACAAGCAATGTAATGCCACATAGTATTACTGGCCCCGAAGCCTGAGTTATGACTGCGCTAGACTGTTGTAATAACAGTTTTCACTTCACCTAAAGACGCGTATACAACAGGTGCACGGATGTTCCAATTTTTTGGTTAGTGAGACTTGCCTATACAGGTAACATTTTTACAAATAAATGATCAGCAAACAAAAAAAATTACAAAAAGACTTTACAATGTATTACAAATCAAACACTTAGCACCCACTTCCACAAGTATCTCTATAGCAAAGAATTATTACGTAAGTTAACTTATCGGACTGGTTTGAGGGTATGATGTGTGCTCTTTAAAAGTACATTAAACTAATGCACTGGATCGAGGGAGTGAGGATGACAGGACGGTGCTTGAACATTGAGCAAACTGCTCACAACGCAGACAACCTGTGGCTTTACAGGTGTCACACTTCATTACTGTGCGCTCACTAACATTCAGAGCCATTTGGTTGGATCAGGGAGAATCTGTACACTCTGTACATTAAAAAAGGATAAATAATAATCCCCCGTTTGTGAAGTGTTTTTTTCTGTTGCAGAACTAGAAATTGCAAAATACAAACAATATTCAGTAAATATATAAGAGCTGTAAGGTTTACTTGTTAACAAAATTGTAATAGCAAACAGCTGACAGGCTATATATATATATATATAATTTTTTTTTTCTCTACGCAGTATACTTTGGTCAACTAAGTATTGAGAATATGCACAGGGCAAACTGTAGGTGAACTCCGAACTACAGACGCTTGAATTAATTTACACCCTCTACTTCCATCTAGTGGCAAATAGTGGAATGTCAATTATTTTTGCTCTTTTTACAAATTGCTATTTCTTCTGCATAGGTAAAAGTTATTGCTGAGTTCTAAAAATAACTGTGGCCTTATATGACTTTTACTTCTCACTGATAGTTTCAAAAGTCAATTCGATGGCCACTGGGACAATGAAACCACCGTCTTAAAGGTTTCTCAATCAATAATAATAAAAACACCTCTCCCTCTTACTTACTGGAGACAGTTTCTGAGTATCTTGGTATTTTCTGCCAAATTATGTCTGCCTATCAGTACCCCAATGAATTACAAAATAGTTGATTATTTTGGAATCAGCATTTCAATTAATCTGGTACTGGCATGCCTGGTGCCTTGAGCATCTGAGTGACTGCAGGTCTGCAAAGTACGGGACAATCAAATATTAATTTTCAATCAAGAACTTCATGGCACTTGTATATCCCATGGTACTTGTGCGCCTGCCAATGCTTGGCATTTTATACTTATTAAAAATTTGGCCGCAGAATTTAATTTCACAAACCAGGCTGGCAGCAGGACAAAGACTTCACACATAAAGGCCTTTAGACAAAAAGCTGTAATTTAGTCTGTGTGTGGCAATGACTTCAATGGCAGACTTCAATTGTCTTATTACTCAACAGCTGCTAAAATGTCATAGGTTATAAATCTGGAAGCATTAGACATGAGGCTGGAGCTTTGAAAAGATTTGTATACATGTATTATACCAAAATTGTGCTTAAATGTAGCCATTAATATAAGAATGTCTAAATAAATCCACACCAACCCCCAATCTAAATCACAGCTTTTTGCCTTACATGCAGAACGTTCTGGATACAAGCCCCAGAGGAACCATAACCATTAATAAATTAATTGTTCTTGATGTATAGCAATTCCCTCTGATTAAATCACGCAGTGTATATTGTTTACTGTCACTGACCAAGATGCAGAGAATTTGAAACAATGAGAATGGAAGAATAACTGAGATTTGGCAGTTTGAAAATAAAGTAAAAAGAGGCAAGATTTTAGAACAAGGAGGGGACAAGTGCCAAGACCCCAAGGAAGGACAATGTAGGTGGTAAATAAATAAATTCTAGTACAACAGTGCCAAAGCTAATTGCTTAAACATTATCTAACATATCTTTATTTATTGTTCTGTAGTAGCCAGTATTTTTTTTTTTAATTTTCATCCGGCACCAGGAGGTAACTTTAAGCTATTTTTAAAAAATATTTTTGCAATGCTTTTAGAAAAGTAAACCTACATATAACTAGGCTCTCCCCTGGACTAACACGTTCAGTTTGTGTTTGTCTATGTTCTAGTTTTTTGTGAAATAAACTAAAACAAGTATAGAACCATCCTCAATATTGTAAGTGCCATAAGTCTTATTCTTCTTAAATTTAAAATTGTTTAAAAATGTTTGATGAAAGAAACATTAGCTTAAAGAAAATAGACTTCAAAAACGTTTTTGGATTTGAGTATAAAATATTAAAATAACAATACATTGGGTGTGAGATACATTGGCGTGTGTATTTACCTTACCTTTTTAATCAGGCAGTGGGAAAGCATACCGATACGTCGCAAGGAGTCCTCAAACGTTCAAGATGGCGGCGCCCGGTACAGACGCCGGTGAGTTTGAAAACTGGCTGAATGGCCGGTTAGATTCTTTAGAAGTGGACCGCGAGGTGTACGGATCTTACATTTTAGGTGTTTTACAAGAGGAGGAGTGTGACGAGGAGAAAGAAGACGCAATTCGAGGGATCTTATCCGCATTTGTGGTGAATATCCAAGGCGGCGTCTCACATTCTGCCATCGAGGCTGTGGTTCATTTGTTGCTGTCTGTCTTCTGACGGGCGAAACCAAGTGACAGCGCTGAAGTCACTCGTCATACACACACACACACACACACACAAGGCTCAGGTTGAGTTAATTATAGGGAGTTGTTTAAACTTGTGTGCAGGATGAAGATACCGTGGAAGATGTCTGCCAACAGATTATTAAGGAGTGGACGGCGAGTTGCAGCCGATCAGCAAAAAGAAGAGAAGTTGAAGATGGTATTTTGCTTAATGTTATGTTATAGAAAGGTCTCCAACACTCTTTGATTTTACTGTGGAGAAGAGTTTGCTAAAATGCAAAGATTTGATAATTATTCAGAGGTTAAAAAAGTAAACATGGGCTGCATTGAATGCATTACGTTTTTACTGGTCTTGAAAGTCATGTGCATAATATATTTAATGCTTAATCCTTTCTTCATAACCTTTTCCCGTTACAGCTGAAGTCCAGGCTATCGCCAGCATGATCGAAAAACAGGCCCAGATTGTAGTGAAACAGAAAGAGGTGTCAGAGGAGTCACAGAAAAGGAAAGAAGCGCTCCTGGCTCAGTATGCCAATATAACTGACGATGAGGAATATCCTTGACTTTATGAATGATGATGACAAACGGGATTTTTTTTTCTGTTATCCTGAATGGTTTGGTTGTTTATAAATTAAAATAAAATTCCCAGATGAAGACTAGCTGCCAATGTTCTTAAACATATGCATGATTCGAAAATTGTCGAATTCTTTCCTTGACAAGAGCACTGAAGGGGAAGAGGAGGAGCAACCAAGTGGTAATCCTATTCCAGGGAATGAAAAATGTATCCATTTTTGATGAGACTTTATATCACACATCACTCTGTTGGTTCTAAAGTGAGGGGCAGAGCCCCCTAAATGGTACAAAGCCAATGTAGTCTATACATTCAATATATCGTTTTTGTGCCACAAAGGATAAATAACAGAATTTCCGTATATGTACGCATATCCAATGAAATGTACTGTATTATCATAACAATTGCAATAATATTTGATTAATAAGTGCCTTTCTGTACTCTCCAGGCCATGAGCTCTTAGTCTTCCTTCCAGCTCTCCTTAACTCTTAAGCATCAGCCCTGTTCAGAAATACTAACGTGGAGGAAGTGCTACATAGACAAAAGCAGAAGCGGGACCAAGCCCGTGAGGACGCTCAAAAGAAGAAAGAAACGGACAAGATGCAGCGAGAGAAGGACAAACTGGCCAAGCAAGAAAGAAAGGACAAAGAGAAGAAGCGTACACAGAAAGGAGAACGAAAAAGATAGAACAAAAGAAAGACAGTTTATGAGGTTTCGTTGAGAAATATTGCCCTTTTTTTTAACTCAATCTCATTCGCACACGGTGGTATGCGAACATAACATGACGACAACATAGTAAAAACATTTTCTTACTGCATGTGCAAAGTCCATTTCTTAAAGTCAGCTTTGTGGTAGTGGAAAACAATTCAAGTTTCCTGCTTCCTGACGTGCAAAGTGAAAACACAGACTTTTCCATTTAAAAAAAATAACATTCAGTTTAAAAGCCTTAATTGACAAACTGTAATCTCCATGTCTACATACATGTTAAATGCTAGAGAACATCTTTAGACTACACAATTTACATTGTGTTTAATTTAAGGGGCAAAAAATGAGCAAGTGGAACTATTTCTTCCCTTCTAAATAAAAGATTTTTGATCCTACTAATGTAGTATCATTTATTGTATTCATTTGACTTAAAACTTCCAGGCTTCAGTTGAAGTTGAATGGCTGAAGAATCACAGACTCTAACACAGCAGCTTCAACCCTAACAAGTCATTTCCTTCAGTCAATAAGAAAGGTTATTATTTATCTATGATTTCATTCACAGTACGGCTTTCTATCTATGCATTTCTCCAGAGTATGAACAAGACTCGTTCCTAAATTATACATTTAAATGTCTTATGATTAGAACATCATTTTAAAATAATAAAAAGACAGTTTGAACTATGTGATCTGCTTTAATTGCTTTTTCAGACAATAGAACAGAAGACAACTAAACGGAATGAACAGCCTCACAGCCTGTTGAATACCTTGTCTGACATACAGGGTTCTGGTCCCTTTGCACAAGAGATATGAATCGGTGGTTAAGAATAATGTAGCTTAAATTTAAAACATTTCATGTATGACTATATATTTGTTATCTTTTGAGCACCTCGCTCAGGAGCGGAGCTACGAACGTCTTTCAAACATTGAACAGATTTCAACAACTAGACTTTTTTCAAAACAGAATCGATTATAAATGGAAAACTCGAAGAGAATTGATGAATCAACTTTCACATTAATAGTGGAAAGAACACTTTACACCTTCCTAACAATCATTAGAGGTTAAACAAAACAGCAGATTATATTGTAATTGTTTTGATTAACCATAAAACAATATATTGGTCACTTCTTATTCCACATACCCACTAAACTTCATAGTATAAGTATTAACTCAACTGTTAAAATATACCTGAAAGATAGGTCAGTGCTTTGTTATCTACCAGTCACTCCGGCACATTGCTGTTGCAGATAATCTTTGAAAACATTTAAGTAAAGGCACTGAACAAAATAACATTATATACAAGGAGGACTTTGTCTGTGTGTGTGTGTGTGTGGTTTTAAGTTATTTTCAAAGGCTGAATAAAATAAATTCTTACTTGATTGAAAAGGGACAACCTTAAAGAAAAAAAATCATGAGCTAGTTTCAAATATTAATTTGGAAAGTTGTTTAAATAATTGCATGCATTTTTGCGTTCACCAGCAGTTACAATGCAATTATTGCTCAGAACTTGCATTCTAATAAATAAGTAAAACAAGGAAGAATTCACTTCCACATAAATAGTGCCTTAAAATCCAATAGCCACGAAGCAAGATTCATACAAATTTGACACTAATTAAATGAATGGCCGATGCAGCAGGAGCTACATGTATAGAATTTCTATAGAATAAAAGATGGCCACAAGTGGACTATATCTTTAGACTTTTCCTTACACGTTTGTTTCTTTTCCCTCAATCGTGTACTTGCAGCCAAATTATTATCACTAGTTTTTGGAATAATTCAATTTGTTTGAAGTAAATTCGGTATCTATTTTAACTTAAACCCAAGAATTATATTTACTCGAAAAATCAGGGGTCTCAAACTCATCTGGCCCATGACTAGATGTCAATAATATCATCATTTTGTCCTTCAAGTCAAACGTTTGTTTCCACTGTAGTATTATTGAGTATTTCTAACTGTTTTTACTTAAATATATGGGTTTTTTGGTGTATTGAACGTTTAATGTGATGTGCACCTGCAGTGACATAACGGTGGCAGCAGCGGCCCTCGGCTCATATTTGCGTTTGAGACCCCTTATATAAGTTGTGCTTACTGGCTTCATGCAAATCACTTAAAAAGGTATTGTGTGATCGTGGAAGCGCACGTCTCTCTGCCTGCTTCTCTAGTGTCACTGACCTCTAGGTTTTTCTCAGGTTTTGGCAGAGTCATCTGGAGTGCACACCACAGGGCTGTCCGGAGGTTTTTGGTGGTAGTAGCCAGGTCTTTCAGTGCCATAACCATCAGAATGTCTACAAACAAAAACAGCAAATATACAATATAAGGGTGAAATGTACGATAATTGTCTCCGTCTTACACTTTTTTGGCTTCTGAGTGACTATTCAAATGACCAGACAAAAGTGAACTACCTGCATTAAAATGTTAAATATATATTTACTCATATAGTGAACATACTTTTATTTATACCTTATATGTTAGTGTACTTATTAAATGCATAAAGATGATTCAGTGATTCAGTTCTTGTGTATGGTCAGTACTTTTTTAAATTTTAATTGATCATCATCAATCAGCACTCCCTTTGTGACCTACTGGTAGACCCTCAGTCCTGAAAATATTATGCAAAGCAAAAACACAATAACTGGTCAGAAATAAGACCGATTCTGTGTGTCTACGTTTGTTGTTCAAAGCTGGTAATAAATTGACCTGATTCTGAGCAAGAAAATACCATGTTAATATGGTATGATGATATTTTAGGTATGATGTGTGTTTGAATGACTGGTCTCCTATTTAAAATTCCTGAGGGAAAGGAAGGAAAGTGAACTACAGCACACCACCCCACACAACGAAATGTGACCTCTGCTTTTAACCCATCACCAAAGTTAACAGTGGGGAGCTTTAAGCGCCCGGGGAGCAGTGTGTGGGGACGGTGCTGAGAGCACCTCAGTGGAAACTTAACTCGAAAAGAAAGCTTCCGGACCCAAGTCTGCTTCCTTAACCACTAAGCCACATCAAGTTAAAATTTTGAACAAGTTAATGTTTAACACAACTGTTACCTCTAACTTCCAGGATTTGAGCCTTGTGCGGCTGATGTTTAAATGTGCCCAAAATCTCCTCACGTCTTGCGTTGGTCCAGCGAATAACCATTCGATGTTTATTCAATGCCGTCTTGATACTGATGGGGAGCTGACTGTTTCGCAGACTCTCCATCCAATTCAGGACACTTGCAACCTGCAGGTTTACAATAATATGGTTATGCTTACAAGCCTCTCTTTTCTCCACTAGATGTCAGCATAGAACCAGTTTATCAAGCACCACGGAACGCTTACCTTTAGTTGCTCTCTTACGTGTTTTACAAGGAGGTGGTCAACCCTTGTGGGGTTTGGTGGAGTCTTTGGCATGGTTTCATTTGGTGTTGCCAAAATCATTTTCCCAACAAATGTCTTTGTCAGAATAAACTCTGTCTGAAACACAGACACTGTACAATAAAATGTGCTTTTCTACTACCCGGGTAATTTGATTCGATTTAAAGAAGCAGTGGCACTGATGTCACCTCTTACATTAGTCACATTTTAAAGGGATATACCTAATATCGATCCAAAAATGTTGACCTACAACCCTCAAAATGCAACATTGTTTTCATTCTGTATTTTGTAAAAATTCGGTATTTTTTGTCTATTACTGAGAAATGTATTTCTAATAACATTGGTGCCTGTAATACACCAAATGTGACATAGTTAAAGGAAGGTAGAAGAGTAAACAGAGTAAACTTCTCTGTCCAGTGTATAGCAGGTAGTTAAATCATATTTAATGCAACAACAGATTTTAGGTGTAATGCATTTAAAGGCACTAGACAGAAAACTTCAATGAATACTTACTTTTTTTCTCTCCTTCTCTAAGCACTGCCATTGCATGAAACTTTCGTCTATACACGAACAAAGGTGCGTCTCAGGTCCGCCTTTATTCACCATCATCAAAGGCGAGCCTTCATGATAAGCACTTTCTTCTGTATTGGTCCTCATTTGGAAGGTGGAGTTTAAAACTGCAGAGTTATTCCCTGTTCGCTTGTCATGAACATCTATGTTTGGAACACCATTTCTATGACGCAGTGTAGATCTCGAGCCAGAAATGGCAGGATTACTTGGGTACCCTCTAAAGTCACTGACTGGATATATATGAGGCATGTACTGCTGTGGATTCCCTGGTTTGATCATGCCATTTTTTCCATTAAATCTTGGTGGCTGCAATCCTCCCTGGAGGTCAAAGTGTGGGCTGTGTGAAAATCCCAGGGCTTTAGCTTGAGTATTCATGTAAGTGTTGTTTAGGGGACCCGGCAAAAGCCCATTCCCCCAAATGACAGGCATGTGTACCATCAAATTTTCTTCTACGCTCCTCTTTCTCGGTGGTTTAGCGTGGTTCTGTATCTGGCTCTGCAGAACATCTTGCTTTACTTTCACACTTTCTCTGTGGATGTTTATCTTGTTTGTGTAATTGTTTGACAGGTTTACAAGTGAAGAGAATGCCTCAGGCTGCTGACAAAAGGCATTCACATTTACGTCTTGATTACCCATTCCTCCTCTTTTTCCAGTATCCATCATCATTCCAAATTTCTGAGATAGCAATGCTGGAATACTTTGTGTTGACACTCCTGCACTGCTTTGCCATTTTTCACCCAAACTCTTTTCAGGATGCAAGCCAAATGACTGCTTGTGTATGTTTGTCAAAACATCACACTCATCAACTCCTACTGACTGGAAACGGCTAAGGTGTTGGTTAAAGCCTTGCTGTAAGTGTTGTTTATTACCTATAGGCTTGACATTGCGCTGAAATGAGATGTCTTGATAGTAAGGGTTGAAGGGTGATTTCTGGTGTCCCAAGATATCATTTGCCGTCTTTCCCTTGTCTTTAAGAGCTGATGATTTGTCACTTTTGCTTTGCAGTATTTGAGACAGGTAAGGATTTTCATCTTTAAACACTGGTAGACCTGGCTTCAGTTTAGGACTATGATTTGATTGGCTGTCATCATCTTCATGAGGCAATTTAAAAAGCCATTTGTGATTGACAGCAAGGCCATTGGACTTTTTAAAAAACTCTCCAACAAAATGGTCCACTGATCCTTCCTGGGCTTTGTTCAGAGACACATGGGATAGATAGTTTGATGGGACGCTCCCATTCTGTTTTATTTTAGCTTCTGATTGATAAACATGTAGCAGTTCTTCACTGTGGGTTTTTGGAGAGCAGTGGTGATGAGATAGAGATAGAGTCCTAAAAGAATAGAACATCAAAATTAAATGCAATATATTTTTTAAAAAAAGCAATGTTTCAAATGAAAAATATAACTCTACATTGATAATTTGAATTTCCACGTGTATAATTAGATTTCTACTGTGCTTAAATGATTAAGTATTTTTTAGGTACCAAGGTGTTGATAGATAACAAAATACTTTAAATACTTTCACAACAGTAGGGCTAATTGTGCCATAAACCACCCATTTCCAAACACTGTCACTCAATATTTCCTTCTCATAGAACAAAAGTTAACAACTGCAGATAATTTTGCAAATTCTCTTACCAAATAAAAGTTTACATACCTGTTAGTGTAGCCATCTTGTGGAAAATCTCTAGCTAAGACGTTTGACTTTTCCTCATCATAATCATTAGAATCAGTTTTCCTTTAAAGAAAAAATATGCATCATCAGAATTTGAATGGAAATGTGATATTTATCATTATATATTAAGATGGCAACGTTTTGTCCAAATTGTATTTCAATGGCAATTGATTCAACATCACACTCTTATTCTATTATAAACATTTTTCACGAAACCTTTTAACAATGCTGTCCTGAAATCCTCTGAGGAGTTCACAAGGATTGTAACAAGCATTATGAGACCAGGGCGTATAATATGCAGTC